GACGGGGCCGCGTCCAGTCCTGCTGCTGCTCCGCCTCCGCCTCCGCCTCCGCCTCCTCCTCCTCCTCCGCCCCTATACCCCTCCTCCTGCTCGTCCTCCTCCGCCCCCCACACACACACCTCTTCTGCTCCTCCTCCTTCTCCTCCTCGTTCTCCTCCTCCTCCTCCTCCTCCTCCTCTTCCTCCCCGCCCCCTACCCCTCCTCCTGCTCCTCCTCCTCCTCCTTCTACTCCTCCTCCTACTCCTCCCCCCCTACATCTGGTCCTGCTCCTCGTCCTCCTCCCTCCTCCTCCTTCTCATCCCTCCTCCTGCTCCTGCTCCTCCTCCTCCTCCTCCTGCTCCTCTTCCTCCTTTCCCTCCTGATTCCCGGTTCCTGATGGCGTGAGGAACCGTCGATTGCCGCTCCCGTTCTCTTCTCCGTCGTCCTCCTCCTCCTTCTCTTCCTCCTCCTCCGCGTGATGGGGAGGAAGGCGGCATCCTCCTACAGTCGGTCGGGTCTTTTTTCTCGCGGTCCACTGCTCGATCGTGGCGGGGCCCTTCCTCCAGTATAGTCAGTGCGCCCGCCTCTGTCAGGATGGATCGGCCCGCCTCAGGCTACCTCTACTCCCTGAGGGGCGGAGGGGGGGGGGGGCGGGCGAACAGGAAGCGCAACCTAGGCGCTCACGCGCCATATACGACACCCTACCCATCCCACCCACCCCTTCCCAGTGTGCCAATTTCTTCTCTATGCGCCGACTTGTGCCGTAGCGGACTTGGAGCTTCAAACAGCACCCCATCGTGTTATGCGCTCTCGGCAACAAGCGCAGCGCACATTCGAGGAGGGGGTGAGGGGTGAGCAGGGGCATGAGCAGCATAACCAGGAGGAACGATGAGACGGAGAAGGAGGAGGAGGAGGAGGAGCAACAGCAGCAGCAGCAGGGGCTTGAGCGTGGGGGGGAGATGTTGTTGTTCTTCCCCACATCCGAAGTGGGATTCGTGTTGTCTGTGACCCCCCGCGCAGGAACCCCTCACCCACCGCCCCTCCATTCTTCATGTCCAGCCCACCACCATCATCATCATCACCATCATCATCATCACCATCATGATCATCACCAGCATCATCATCATCATCATCATCATCATCATCATCATCATCATCATCATCATCATCATCATCATCATCATCGTCACCATCGTCATCATTATCATCAGCATCATGGTCGTCATCATCGTCATCATCGTCATCATCTCAGACGCCCTCATTGTGAGGACCTCGCGAGGGAAGTCTCGAGCGCCCCCCCCCCATTGGGTCCCGCACTTCATGTTTTTTTTCCCAGCGGGTCACTTTCAAACTTGTAATCGTCGTCACTGTTGGGCTCCCCAGGCCTGAAGGTAGAGGTCGTCTCAAGCGGCAGCCTCGTCTCTGGGCGAATCGCCAGGAAGTCTCAGGCGGGGGCCCCCTTCCTATGGGCCCGCGCGTCATGCTTTTGAATCTCATGGGATAATCCTCAAACTTGTAATTATCGTCGCTTCTGGGCTCATCTGGCTTGAAGTTGGAGGAAGTCTCAAGCGGGACCCTCGTTTGTGAGTGAAGTACGAGGAAGGTTCAGGCGGGAGCCCCGTGGTTTATGGTTTAAATCCAAGGGGTAGTCCTCAAACATGTACTTGTCGTGTCTGTTGGGTTCCCCAGGCCTGCCTGAATCTGGAAGAAGCCTCCCGCGGGAGCCTCGTTTGTGAGCAATTCGCGAGGAAGTCTCAGGCGGGACCCCCCTTCCTTTGGGGACCGCATCTTATGTTTTTAATCCCAGGGGGTCATCCTCACGCCTGTAGCTCTCGTCGCTTTTGGGCTCCTTAGGCCTGAATATGACGGAGCCTCGAGCGGTAGCCTGGTCTGCGAGTGACTTGCGAGGAAGTCTCAGGCGGGAGCCCTTCCGTATGGGGCCCGCACTCTTGTATTTGTTTTAGCCCCGAGGGCCATCTGCAAACTCGAAGCCGTCGTCGCCTTTGCGCTTCTCGAGCCTGAGTATGGAGGAAGTCTCAAGCGGTGGCCTGGCCTGTGAGTGACTCGCGAAGGAAGAGGTCGAGCGGGAGCCCCTCCTCGTGGGGTCCCCGCTTCCTTGTCCGAGCCCGGCCGAGTCCTCTGAAGCTTACACGTGGCACGCCTGCCAAGGACGATACAAATCGGAGGTTGATAGACCTCCTACCCTGACACGTCGATCAGTGAACTGGCCGTTGTCGGTTCGCGGGAGGGCGTCGCGGCCGTTCTTTTTGCGGGTCCAGGTCCGTCGGTTTCGGTCCCAGGCCGCTTTCACTACAGGGAGGTTTACTAAAGGGAGGCTTGTCCACCGCCGAGCAATCACGGATGCGGGACAATGGGACATGGAGATGGCGCCAACGTGTGGCAGTTCCGGGGAAGCGCGCGAGGGCCGCGACACGTTGGCGAGTGACCATAACGGGTGAGCGGCAAATGGCAGCTTGGCTGTGTGGACGCAGCGCCAGGTTCGATCTGAAGGCGATCTTAATATAACGGTAGAGGTTTACGTGGCTTCAACGGCGCGTCCATAATGCAGGCCCCCTTGTATGGCGCGAAACGTTTGGTCCCAAGACGGGGGGCGCGATGGTATTCGTAGCCAAGATCCACCACCGTGCCTTCAGCACGTTGTGGAGTGCCCCTAGGCTCATGCAGCCCTGAGCGGCAGGGGAGTTGTAAGGTTCTTGAGGGCCTGGACCCTTGGTTTCCCCAGGCGTTCTTGCGCGCTCTTGCGCGGGCCCAGGGTGTGTCGCGTGGGCTGTTGGGGCGCCACGAAGGCCCGAAGGCGGGCCAAGAGGGCCGTCAGAGACCCATACGACGGTGGAATCGTCGAACGATTTGTCCGAAACGCCCAGGATGGCCTCCAGACGGCCCAAGATGCCCCCAAGACACCCCAAGAGGCCTTCAAGAAACCTTCAGGAAGGCCCCACGAGACAAACATAATTTCCCAATCAGAGCTTGCCTTCGTAGGAGTCCAAGCGGATTCATTTGGTTAGGAAAGGTTTGCCACCGATTTCCGCGGCCCGCCCGGGTGCCCGGGTGCCTTATAGCCCTATAGCCCTATAGCCTTTTTCCCGGAAAGGGCTCCGGCCCAGGGTTCTCTTTTAGTAGGTAAACCTGTCCCCCGGTGCCAACTTGAGGGAGGCCGGCGAATTTTTTCCCTGATAAACATGATGGACCCACGAACCCGGAAAGGGATAAAGACATGTGCAGCATGGTCACGTTTTCACGATACCCAACTGGGCGACATCTCACGAAACATCCCACGAGACACCCCGCGAAACATCCCACGAGACACCTCACGAAACATTCCACGAGACACCTCACGAAACATTCCACGAGACACCCTTTGAAACATTCCACGAGACACCCCACGAACAGGCAACCACTCAACCAGACACGCCACGAAACATTCCACGGGGGTGCGACTGGTGTGTGGTCGTGCTGGGGTGTGGTCGTGCTGGGGTGTGGTCGTGCTGGGGGTGGTCGTGCTGGGGGTGGTCGTGCTGGGGTGGTCGTGCTGGGGGTGGTCGTGCTGGGGGGTGGTCGTGCTGGGGCGTGGTCGTGCCACCCCGCGAAACATCCCACGAGACACCTCACGAAACATTCCACGAGACACCTCACGAAACATTCCACGAGACACCCTTTGAAACATTCCACGAGACACCCCACGAACAGGCAACCACTCAACCAGACACGCCACGAAACATTCCACGGGGGTGCGACTGGGTGTGGTCGTGCTGGGGTGTGGTCGTGCTGGGGTGTGGTCGTGCTGGGGAGTGGTCGTGCTGGGGTGTGGTCGTGCTGGGGTGTGGTCGTGCTGGGGGGTGGTCGTGCTGGGGGGGTGGTCGTGCTGGGGGGTGGTCGTGCTGGGGCGTGGTCGTGCTGGGGCGTGGTCGTGCTGGGGCGTGGTCGTGCTGGGGCGTGGTCGTGCTGTGGTGAGGTCGTGCTGGGGTGTGGTCGTGCTGGGGTGTGGTCTTGCTGGGGTAGGGTCGTGCTGGGGTCGGGTCGTGCTGGGGTGTGGTCGTGCTGGGGTATGGTCGTGCTGGGTGGGGTCGTGCTGGGGTGGGGTCGTGCTGGGGTCTGGTCGTGCTGGGGTGTGGTCGTGCTGGGGTATGGTCGTGCTAGGGTGGGGTCGTGCATTTCGCTCGAGACATCCTGCCAAAATTCCAGGAAATCGTACAAAAACAAACGAATTAGTCGAGACATCATCGAAATTCCTTCGCGCGGGGCGCTTTTCCGCGTCGCGGTCGGCTCTGCAAAACAAGCGTTTCGCTCGAGACATCCTCGGCAAACTCTGCGGAGCAAGCGTTTCGCTCGAGACATCCTCAACACACGAAAAAGTGGCCCGCACCCTGTGATTTATCGATCGGGATTTCAAAAACAAGCGTTTCGCTCGAGACATCCTCAAATTTTAATTCGCCGGCCTCCTTCGACCTCGTTATTTATCAGGGAAAAAATTCGCCGGCCTCCTTCAAGTTGGCACCGGGGGACAGGTTTACCTACTAAAAGAGAACCCTGGGCTCATGCCCTTTCCGGGAATAACGAGGTCGAAGGAGGCCGGCGAATTAAAATTTGAGGATGTCTCGAGCGAAACGCTTGTTTTTGAAATCCCGATCGATAAATCACAGGGTGCGGGCCACTTTTTCGTGTGTTGAGGATGTCTCGAGCGAAACGCTTGCTCCGCAGAGTTTGCCGAGGATGTCTCGAGCGAAACGCTTGTTTTGCAGAGCCGACCGCGACGCGGAAAAGCGCCCCGCGCGAAGGAATTTCGATGATGTCTCGACTAATTCGTTTGTTCCCGGAAAGGGCTCCGGCCCAGGGTTCTCTTTTAGTAGGTAAACCTGTCCCCCGGTGCCAACTTGAGGGAGGCCGGCGAATTTTTTCCCTGATAAGTATCGAGGTCGAAGGAGGCCGGCGGATTAAAATTTGAGGATGTCTCGAGCGAAACGCTTGTTTTTGAAATCCCGATCGATAAATCACAGGGTGCG